CTAAGTACGGGTGAGTGGGCGGGGGCGGGGGGTGGGCTGGTGGGCTTGAGTTCCCTCAGCGGAGGGCTCTGTGAGCTGGTGCCTGGGATATGGACCGGAGCTGGGAGCCACACCAATGACTGCCATCACAGCCCATATCCAGGTGCCCAGGAGAACACAGAAAGGACTAAACAGGTTGGAATTGGGGTATCAGGAAGGGTGGGTAAAGGGATGTGGAGGGGAAGTGGGGAAAGAAGGAAAGGAGGATCCCGCCCTGCTCTTCAGAGCAGGGAGGCAGGTGATGGACAGATTTTTTTTTTTTTTTTTTAGGGAGGTAGGGAGGGATCCTTGAAGCATTCTGGAGGAATATGATACGATTTCATTGGTGAAATGTCCTGACTGCTGGGTGGTGGAGGTCGGGAAGATGGCTAGATTTGGGGTTAATGGGAATGACCGTAGTGATGACTCGAGTGATTTAATGGGGTTGGGGAGGCTGAGGGGTCAGTCCTGCCAGGTAGGCAGGTAGGCAGCTGTCCTGTTCCCCCAGGTGCACATTTATTGGAAATCAGGACACCTATGAGACACACTTGGAAACATGCCGCTTTGAGGGCCTGAAGGAGTTCCTGCAGCAAACTGACGACCGCTTCCATGAGATGCACGTGGCACTGGCCCAGAAGGACCAAGAGATCGCCTTCCTGCGTTCCATGCTGGGCAAGCTCTCAGAGAAGATTGACCAGCTGGAGAAGAGCCTGGAGCTCAAGTTTGGTATGGTCTTGTCCAGAGAACACGGGTTGGGGAGGGAGTTGTTCTGCGATGCTCTGGACCCTAGTAATACCTTTCTTTTCTCATTGCTCAGATGTCCTGGATGAGAACCAGAGCAAGCTCAGCGAGGACCTCATGGAGTTCCGGAGAGATGCATCCATGTTGAATGTGAGTAACTGAGGGTTGCCGTGCTAAAGCACAGGAGGACAGATTGGGGTCCCTCCTCTGACCTTTGTCCTAGTGCTCAGGATTTCAGGGTCTGTATTCCAGTACGAGCTGACCCTAGGCCTGTAGCTCCAGCAGAAGTCATACGAGCTCCACCCACCCATTTTCTGCTGTGTTGTCCTTGCAGGATGAGCTGTCTCACATTAATGCACGCCTGAACATGGGTATCCTTGGATGTGAGTATAGCCCACCGCTGCTCCCACATTGCCTCCTGAGCCCCACTCTCCCTCACTAACTTCTCCCATTTGCAGCCTATGACCCTCAGCAGATTTTCAAATGCAAAGGAACCTTTGTGGGTCATCAGGGCCCTGTCTGGTGTCTCTGTGTCTATTCTATGGGTGACCTGCTCTTCAGTGGCTCTTCTGACAAGACTATCAAGGTGAGAGGGGCCCTGCTCTACAGGCTCTGTAGCATGTCCGGGATCAGGTGGGCACTCTGATGGGCACATCCCAGCCTCTGCTACCTCCTACCCATGATTTGGTCCTCTCCCCTAACGGCTGCTATTCTGTCCTTTCGGCACCGAACTGACCCTGCTGGACCTGGTCTTTGCAGGTGTGGGACACATGTACCACTTACAAGTGCCAAAAGACACTGGAGGGTCATGACGGTATCGTGCTGGCACTTTGCATCCAGGGGTGAGTCTCAATATGGGACCCACTGACCACAAGATCAGAGCCAGGGTGTGCTATACCCACCCAATGGGCCCTGAGCCTGTAGTTTATGTCTTCCACCCATTCAACACTCACCCCTGGGCAATGCTGGGTCCCTAGGTGACAGTCTGACCTCTCAGCAGAGCCTGGCCCTGCCCTAGTGTGTCAGGTGGCATTCTTCGAGGGTAGGACAGCTCAGCTTGTCACCAGGATGGCTAGTACCTTGGTCTTAACTCTGGTTATAGTCGATGTAGCAGCTGCCATGATTAATTTGTCAGTTAATCATGCTGGACTGTATGTGGTCACTCTAGGTTCTGAGGGCGAGGCGAGGGCTTTGCTTAGCTTTACTGTTGGTAGTAGCCTCCCTGGGACTTGGTATTCAGGATAGGTGACCTCACCACTCACTTAGCTCAGCCATCAGATGTTTCCCAGGCTAGTTGTTCACATCTCACTATGCAGACTAAGAATGGGGCTCAGGAGGTTCCTGGGACCAGCCAGGGCATCAGCTTCTGCTTCCACATGTTGACTTTGCTTCCCTAGGTGCAAACTCTACAGTGGCTCTGCAGACTGCACCATCATTGTGAGTGCGGCACAGGGAGAGGGGTTGGGGACAGAGATGGCCCAGTGCCCTTTCCTCCCTCACAGACCTCGAGCCCTGTCACCCCCTACAGGTGTGGGACATCCAGAACCTACAGAAGGTGAACACTATCCGAGCCCACGACAACCCTGTGTGCACTCTGGTGTCCTCGCATAACATGCTCTTCAGTGGCTCCCTGAAGGCCATCAAGGTACGGGCAAGGGGTGTGCATGTAGTGGGGGCTCCTGGGGTAGTGGATGCCTCCCTAGCCCAGGCTCATGTCAATCCCTACAGGTCTGGGACATCGTGGGCACTGAGCTAAAGTTGAAGAAGGAGCTCACAGGCCTCAACCACTGGGTGCGGGCCCTGGTGGCAGCACAGAGCTATCTGTACAGTGGCTCTTACCAGACAATCAAGGTGTGCTCAGACACCCCAGGTGGCAGGGGTTTGCCCTCTGCTGCACTTCCTAGGGTGTCCTAGAGCCTCCTCTGCCCTTTCCCTACCCTCCAGCATGCCCTGAGGCTGTCTCCTCCTAAATCCAAGAGGCCCACGGTAAGTAACTACCTGGCCTGAGATTGACACACTTTTTCTCCTAGATCTGGGACATTCGGACCCTTGACTGCATCCATGTCCTGCAGACATCTGGTGGCAGTGTCTATTCCATTGCTGTGACGAATCACCACATTGTCTGTGGCACCTACGAGAACCTCATCCATGTAAGGGCTATCCTTTAGCAGGCCTCCATCCCTCCTACCCTTGTTTTCAGTCCCTGTCTCCAATTTGTTTGGGCTTGTCCCCTGTCCCCTTTTAGGTATGGGACATTGAGTCCAAAGAGCAGGTGAGGACTTTAACGGGCCATGTGGGCACAGTATATGCCTTGGCAGTCATTTCAACGCCAGACCAGACCAAAGTCTTCAGTGCATCCTATGACCGGTCCCTCAGGGTATGTGCTGCCCAGGAGCAGGAATAGGAAGCCAGAGGTGGCTTGGCCAGGGTAGGCCCTCATATCCCATGTGCCCCCTCCCCCAGGTCTGGAGCATGGACAACATGATCTGCACACAGACGCTGCTGCGCCATCAGGGCAGTGTAACGGCGCTGGCTGTCTCCAGGGGCCGGCTCTTCTCAGGGGCTGTGGATAGCACCGTGAAGGTGAGTGCCTACGTCTCAGGCTATTGACAGGGGTTGCATAGGATGGAGCTCGAAGAGTGGGTGAGCGGCAAGTGGCCCAGGCTGTTTAAGAGTGGAGGGCTAGGAGACTTAGGCTGGCTGGAAAGGAATCCTTGTGCCTCAGGAGATCTGAAATAGAACCCTTTCTTTGCAGGTTTGGACATGCTAACGGAATCCAGGCCGGGCTTGACTCCCTTTGTCAGTCGGGCTGTTCCTACGTGATGGCCTTGGAATTTCTACCTGTCTTGTGGATACAGGTAGACAGGCTCAAGCAGCAAGGCAGTGTCATCTCTGCCCTATGCTTGGTGAGGGAGCTTTCGTTAGGCCCCTCTCTTACTTCTACCAGAGAAATGCCCAGGCCCTTCTCTGGGCGCCAGGTACGATGCTTGCCCGGCCCCACCATTCATATCACTCCACAGATTTCTGTTTAGTGACAGGGTCTCACTATGTAGCTCTGGCTGGCCTCAAACTCACTTATGTCGACCAGGCTGGCCTCAAACTCACAGATCTGCATCCCTCTGCCTCCATCTCCCAAGCGCCGGGACTAAAGGCGTGTGCCACCACTCCTGGCAGGGCCCAGATGGACCACGGGTCCTTTTTACTCACCTTTTCTACTGGTTTTAGACTGTATATAGATTTTATTACTTTCCTCTTGAAATAAAAGCTGCACAGACTGTGGTTCTGAGTGGAGACGGCTTCTGGGACCATAGCACCAAGGACATTAGTGTGCTCAGGCACAAGATGGGACGGGGGAAGGCTGGGTGGACTTTTCCTTGCAGAAGGCTGCCAGCTTCCAGTCTCTGAGCTTTGCTTTTCCCACCACACATGCCCCCAAAGAGCAAGCCAAGCAGCTCTGTTTTCTGCTGTTTATTGACAGCTGACAGCAGCTCCCTGTCAGGCCCACCTCCCCACTTCCTAGAGTCCTACCCTGGGCCATGCACACAGAGGAGGCTGAGAAATGGCCAGCATGTTCATGAGAAGGAAGCGCCAGGAGTGACATTTGGAAGGGGCCCCATGTCCACACTACCTTAGTTGGCCCCCTTCATCAGCCTACACCACAATTACGGTTTTCTTTCGTTCTTTGGGGTTTTTTTTGTTTGTTTGTTTTTCGATTTTTTAAGAAATGTCAATATTATGCCCAACACTTGCGGATCAGCAAACACGAAAGTGGAGATCAGTCAGTATTTTTTGGAGGGAGGAAAAGAGGATGAGATGTACTACACAACACAGCCTCAGACCATGAGCAGAATTGTCCACAGGAATTCAAGATGGGTAGGTTGGCTGCCTGTACAAGGCTGCCTGGGGGTAGGCAGGGCAGACACAACCTTGAACACACATCTGCCCATAGTCTGGCATGCATGCCCTTGCACCCATGTCCACGTTCACACAGGGTTCAGTGCACCCTCACACCAGCACCCCAAGGGCATGGCCACACCCAGGAGGAAGAAACCTTCCCCCAGACCTATGGGGCATGGAGGGGAACAGGTGAGAGCAAGGCACATCCTTCAAGTTCTTCAGACTCTCAGAAGCTAGAAGAATGGAGGAGAAGCCCCGGACAGAGCTGCCCATCCAGACTGTGCCTCCCAGGTGTGTGTGCTCATGACCAAGGGCATGGCCACTCCTAGATGAAAGAAGAGAAGGGCAGACAGGTGGTCTAACCTCTGACAGCTTTAGTCTCAAGTCGGACTTGTGTCCTTTCTGTTGGTAAATGGTTTCTATAGAATCAATAATATTTCTTCTCTTTAAATATATATTTGTTAAAGTTATCTTTTTTGTTTTTCTGGGGAAATCTGCCTCAGCTCATTCCCAATAAATTAATACTCTTGATAGCTTATATTCTGGGGTGCAGTGGGGCGAGCCCAACCTTGGCCCCCTGTCCCTTGTGCTATGCCAGGGCGGCTGGCAGAGGTTCCCCAATGGGCAGTTCTGTGCTGGGCATAGGCCTGTGCTCTGCCACAGATTGGGGAGAGGGCCACAGTGGCCACCCCCCTCATCTTCCCTTGGTGTTCAGTCTGCCTAGGGCAAGGGAGGAGCAGCCCTCCGCGAGCAGAGCAAAGCCTGCAAGGGTAGGGCCCAGCAATTGTTGCACAGGGAGCAGCAGACAGGAATGGGCACCAGCGGGCAGCCTATCTGCCCAGAGCCCTTGGAGCGCCCCCCAACCCCGTGCCAGGGTGCTGATAACCAGCCTGGGCCAGGAGTAGGAGTTGTGCTTGTGCAGAGCTGGGCGAGCCCCGCCCACTCGGCCCCCGCCCACCGCTTGGAGGTGCCCATCCTGAGGTAAAAGATCAAAGTGCGGGCCAGAGCTGGGAATACGGTGGGCCCCCGTATGGGTGGCTGCATCACTCCAGCATGGCGTCCAGCTGATCGGCCAGGTCGTCGAACATGCTGCCGATGTCCTCCAGGATGCTGCCAGTGCTCTTCTCCTCGATGGAGGAGGGGCTAAGGGTGGGCATGCGTCAGTGGGGTGGGGCAGCACAGGCCCCCTTACACGGGACTAGGTGGCTCCACAGCAACCCACCCTTAAACCCCAGGGGATGGCTCCGCCTACCCCTACCAGTCCACCAACAAGAGCCATGCCTTGTGCTAGACCAGAACTCCCTCCCCTGGCCGAAGTACCTACCGAGGGCCCTGCCCATCTTCCTGCCGGATCTTCTCTTCCACTGCCTGCAATGCTGCAGCTAAACACGCGCTAGTCTCTTCCAATTTCTGCCGAGCGCTGTCCCCGGGTGAAGCGCAATCTGAAGCTACTGGGGGTCCGGAGGCCACTGAAGCGGCAGCGCGAGGGGGCTTGGCGGGGACGTGCAGCGCGGGAGCCCCTGGGGATGGAGGCTTGGCAGGGCTGGCGCTCTGCGAGGGCGGTGAACTAGCCGGCTTCACAAGGGCTGCTGGCGGCTGGCGCACTGGCGAGGGTACGGGCGAGGGGGTGGCGCTGCTCGACTGTAATCCCGCCAAAGCCTTGGCCGGCTTGGGTGCTGTGGGTGGCGGCGGAGGCTTGGGTGACACAGGCGGTGGTGTGCCGTGAGCGCGCTTTACCTCTGCAAGGGAGGAGGACGGCACTGGTACCCAGGAACCACCACCACCCTCCGCCTATCAGGAGAGAGGCGGCACCTGGCCCTGTTCTCACCACAGACGCTAGGGTACGCAATTCCACTGCAAAACGTGTCACTGTTTCCTAAGCTCCTTCTGATGTGGCCTGATGCAGCTGGCTCCAGGCCTCCTCTCGGCACTTCTGCACTGCTCTCCTGTCCGGAAACCTACCCTCTCCTGTATAAGGGAACACCAGCGAGGTCTTCCCGCTTATTCGCCACTACTCTTGGCCTTCCGCACCTCCTTCACTGAACAAGAGGCACGCCCGCTACAGGGGTGGCAGAGTTGTCCCATATGGATAGTTAAGACAGTCTTACCCCACACCACCTGGGCTTCATCAGACTCAAAAAAGAAAACCGGAGTATGAGATAGGGTAGCAGGCAAGGGTCCTGTCCTGAGACCTCCTGTTCTGTCTTAGCCAGCTTTCTGTACCTACCTGGGCTGCCAGGGCCTGGCAGTGGCACCTTCTTGGAGGCAGGTGTAGGTGAGCCCTGGATCTTGGACACAGGCTGAGCCAGGATGGGCTTGGGAGAGACAGGTGGCTTCACGGGCTTCCGGGCACTGCCATCAGGCAGGGGCAGTGGAGGCAGCTGCATCAGGTCAGCAGGTGGGGGCTCAGCGGGTGGAGGAGGAGGGGGCAGCTCTGGGGGCCCGGCCTGCTCGGAGGCTGGCCGTCGGCGAACAGTGGCTGTGCCATTCTGATACACAGACAGAGGTGGGGGTGGCTCGGGCCCAGTGTCACGCTCCTTAGCCTTAGGCCTGCGCTTGACCGTGTCAGACTCTGTCAGGATGAACTTGACATTCTCTTGCTGGCTCTGCTTGGCCCGGATGCGCCTCTTGAGCGTGGCACTGGCCTCTACTTGAGCAAGGGGAGGGCCCTCCGCACTTGGCTCACCCTTGGCCGGACCTCGAGGCCGTTGTCGTGCTGTGCCATCCTCCATAAAATGGCTCTGCTCTGCTGGTTCCCCAGGTCCCCGGCGGGCAGTGGCCAAAAGTCCAGTGACTGGGCCACTGAGTGTGCGGCGCCGGTTCACCACTTCGCCGTCAGGCCCAATGGCCTCTTTGTGCTTCACAGAGGCCAACACAGTAGCTACCCGACCCGGTTCTGGACTGGCAGGGCGAGGTGTGGGGTGGCCTTCAGGGGGCCTGCGGATAGCCCGCCCCCCACCCCCAATGGAAGACAGCTCCAACATGGCGGCAATGCTCTTCACACTGCCAGCACTGCCTGTGTCCACACTGCCAGTGAGGTCACTAGCTCGGCGGCGCTGTGCCCGGACCCCCAGGCGATTGTCCTCCGTCTCAGCATCCGGAGCCGGCTCATCAGCAAGGTTGGCACTGGCCATGGCTGAGCTGGAACGTTTGGGTGGAGGTGGTGGGGGACCCTTCTTACGTGGCCGCACAGCAAAGGACTGACTGCGGTTAACATTCTTGTCGGTGCCAGCAGGAGCCCTCACTGAATGGCTCCGACCCACACGCCTCTGGACTGTGGCATAGGGTCCGGCAGCAGCAGGCACCAGCAGCTCGTCCCGCTCCGGCTCGCTGTCCGATGCTGCATAGCGATTCAGGCTGTGGGCACGTTTCTTGGGCCGCCCGGGCTCTACATCAGCTTCTGGGGGCAGGCATAGTGTGGGCACAGCTGCCGGGACTGGTGGGACTGCGGGTCCTGGGGCAGCTGGCCCTGCCTCGCCCTCAACTGGCTGGGGCAGCACGTAGGCAAAGCCACGGTGTGTGGGCGACTGAGGCAGGGAACGGGGCGACATGGGTCGGTCTGTCGGTGGCAGCAGCTGTGGGGTGGGCTTCACCTTGGCTGTGGCTGGACCATGAGGGCTCCCAAGGGCCTGAGGGGAGCCTGGCTGAGCTTTGGTGGGTGTCTGTGGGGGTGTGAAGTGGCTGGCACCTGATGGAAGGACCTGCCGTGGCTTGCCAGGCACTGGAGGCACACTGGCCCTCTTGACATTGTGGCCGTGGCGGCCAGACCGCACCTCCTTGGGTGGAGTGCCAGGAGCCGGCCCCTCATCCAGCAGGTATTCCTGACTTCGTGACATAGGACTGCCAGGCCCTGGGGGCCCATCAGCCAGCAGCTCCTGAGAGCTGCTCATGTGCCGAGCCCGCCCGCTCAGGCTGGACTCCTGCCGCAAGGTGGCCCTCGGAGTGGGCGGCAGGTGGTTGGAGGATTTCTCAGCAGCAGCCGCACCTGCCTCAGCTGGGCCCGATAGGGCAGCCTGCAGCTCACCGCTGAGTTCGCTGTCCTGGAAGGTGGTCATCTTAGGAGACTGGCACTCTGCCGCAGCAGGCTCAGATGGGGGTGGTGACTCAATAGCCATCATTTCAAGCGACTGGGGTGCCTTTCGACGCAGGGGTCCCCCCTCATACTTGGAGTATTCTGCCTTTTGCAGCTCCGCCAGTTTCCTCACTGCCAGCATCAGCTTCTTTTGGTGTCCTGAGTTGGGAGTGGGGGAGAGGCTAGTCAGGAAGACCTGTAGGTACAGACAGATATGGAGGAGACGGGCTGGGACATTACCCAGCTTGGTGATGCCGATCTCCTGGAGATCCTCCCACGTGATATCGGTGATGAAGTCGATGTTCTCGTAGCCGTTGTCCACCAGCACCTTGTAATACTGAGCCAGACCAATCATCGACAGCCACACAGCCAGGTTAGCCTACGGAGAGGGGGACAGAGAGGGGCAGCCGGAGCTGGCTGCTCACACCATGACTGCCTACTTGGAACTATTAGAAGATGGGCCTGTGGGGCACAGACAGACAGACGGACAAACAGACAGGCCTGAAATGTCAGTATTGCAGACAGCCTAGGCGCAGCCCTGGTGGGAACTGCAGGCCAGCTCCTCAACATGCCAACTGTACATTAGGATACACGTGAGTCAACACACACACACACACACACACACACACACACACACACACACACCCGGGACACCTATCATCAGAACAGCTTCAGGTTTCAGAAAGTGCTTCTTTGCTTGACTAGGAGGCTACAGGCAGTGGCCTGAGGAGATGCACCCATATGCCAAATACAGACACACAGCACCACGGAAGACACATGCGCACACGAGCCCCACCTGCACGCTGCTTTCAGCTGTCCCGAGCACAGACGCCCTCTCTTGATCACCCTCACAATGTCTCCCCGCCCACAGCAGATGCATGGCCACACGCCTGATACACCTTCACCACACAGCCATACCAGGAATGCGCAAATGTCCACCGTCCACCAAGAACTGCCCAGTCGTCCCAAGCTCCCAGCCAATGCCACTCGTGCACCCACACTCAGCACCTTCAGTCATGCAGGTGACAGAGTGAGGCGAGGTCCGTGAGACCCAGGTGTACTCCTGGGAAAATCCCCGAGCTGCTGACTGAGAAGCAGGGAGGGGCCGATGAGAGCAGCCCTGCTTCCCAGCAGATCCAGGACCCTGGGGATGGCAGGCTTTGGGCAGCCAGAGACACCTCTCCCGTGGGTGAATGGGAGAACAGAGCTAGTGTGCAGCCCAGAGGGCCAGCATCAGCTCAGAAGCTGTCTCCTCATCAGTAAGAGCAAGGGCCGCTGTGTGCAGAAGCCATCAAAGGAGGGCTATCAGCCATTAGCACAGGTCAGCATCTGCAGTGGGACCTGTGTGCATGCATGTGGCAAGCATGTTGGACACCAGCCCATCTGCAGCCCATATATGAGTAAAAGACAGTGCTATAGCGGTGCTGGCCATGAATAGAGAAGGCAAACCTGACTTCAGGTTCTCCTCATGGCCCCTAGACTCTTAGGAGCCTGCCTGGGGAGTTTGCCCCCATAATGGACAAAGAGGCTATCCAAATAGTTCCCTGCTGGCAGGCCACCTTGGTAGCCCAGGCAGGCCTTGAGCTCACGATCCTCCTGCCTTGGCCTCTCTGAGTGCTGGTTATAGGCCTATGCCACCAGGCCTGGCTCCATCCTCAACTCCACTTCCTAGGACCCCAGAAGGCAGATGAGGGCTGTAGCCAGGGAGGCAGCCTGTCTATCTGTCCATCTGCCTGTTGGTCCTGGCTCGGCCACCAGGGCGCAAGGAGCCTTACGGGTTTGTGTTCAGGCAGCCAGTCAGGGATGTTCAGGCCGCTGATCTCTGCGGTAATCTTCTTACGGTGGCCTGGCTTGGTGACACCAATGGCTGTGAGGTCCTAGGCAAAGAGGAGGCCCATTAACTAGCAGATAGAAGGGATCTGCCTCTTGCAAGGGAAGCAGCTGGCCACAAGCTCACCTCGGGGGTCATGCGGCTGATAGTGGGCAGGTCATAGCCAGCACTGGTGAAGTTGGGGGCATAGAGCTGTAGCTGGAATGTGGCAAGCCACTGACTGACTGCCTCAGAACTCTGCAAGACACAAGGCACCAACTGCAGCCTGTCCACTGCCGGGCTGCGCCCCAACCTCCACTGTGCCTCCTTGTCTGCTCGGTTCATGGCCAGAGTGCTGGATCCGCTGCTGTGGTCCACCGCACCAGTACTCCGTGATCTGTCATCCTGGGTACAGCATCTGCCTCTCCAGCCTTCTTCCGTGAGCTCCATAAGGAAGTCCTGCTGAAATCTGTGCCGCGGCCTCCCCCCACCCCACATCTGCACCCGGGGTACCCATACCATCTCAGAGCCCCACAGGAGGGGACTCTGGGGGAAGGGCTTCAGGGCTGGCTGCTCCCTGGAAGGTGGGCTCTGTGCTCTACTCAGAAGTCCCTCGCCTCCTCTGCTGCATGGGGTTCAGCCATCAGGTCACTCCTCACAGCCACACCGACGCACCCACACATCACCCACTGCACCCACATGCACGTTTTTGTGTCTCACACCCATCCCTTGACATCTGTGCAACCACACGCATGCACGCCCAGATCAGAGTTGACCATTCCACATCCACAAAACACCCAGCATACTTCTGCAAGTGTGCACGCACTAGCTCACGGCCTACACAATAGACAACACCTATACACTTGTGTGTGTGTGTGTGTATGTGTGTGTGCTCGCACATATGACACAGAGACAGACAGAAAGACAGTCTGGTCTGTCAAGGCCTGCAGGAGCTGCTGTGACCAGGTATGCCTGTCAGACTGTCAACCCCATCCCTCCCAAGTCCAGGCCTGGAGATGACCAGGCCCTGTACCTTGCCCTCTGAGGCCGAGGCTGACTCCAGCTTCTTGGGTGGCTGTTCCCCATATACCTGCCCAGCATGGGCTGCTGGAGGCTGGGACCGGGCAGCACCTGGTGATGAGAGGGAGTGGCAGAGCAAGAGCTATATGGCGGCCCTATGTGCCAGGCCAGCACAGCTGGGTTCTTGTTCTTACCTGTAGAGCCCTCTGGAGGCTTGACTGGGCTATCTCCTGGACTGGACTCGGAGACTGATTTCTGGGAGAGCACTGTCGCCAGGAGCTGGAACCCAGAAAGGCCACTTGCTAGCACTGCTCCAGGGCTGGCTACCCAACCTACCCAAACCTCCCTGCCCACTCACCTTAACTCCTTCAGAGCCTGCGTGCAGAGCATGAGCCCCAGCGCTCCTGCCCCCAGCCACATTGCTCAAGCTTCCACTGCGATCTCCACCTGCCGGGACAGGGACCGTGAAGTGCGCTGGCCCCACAGTGGTACCCATCAGCAGAACTACTACCGCCCCCAGGGCTCTGGAGGACCCTGGCCTACCTGCAAAAGGCTTCCTCAGCACCCAGATCTCCTCCGGAGGTGCAGAGGGTCCCAGTGAGCCACCTCCCTGGGGTGGGCTTGGCTCGCTGCCTGATCGGGAACCTGTAGGCCAAACAGAGCCTTCCTGAACCCTGGGTGGCCCAGGCACAGTCAGACACAGAGAGTAAGCAGCATAGAGGCCTTGCTGTCTCTGGTAACATGAGAGACCAAGTCAGCGTAATAGAAGGGCCCAGGGCCAGGGCCTACCACTTGCCCTAAGGCCCACAGGCAGAGGGGCTAAGGATCACTGGACAGTTGACTTTCTCTGTAGATTAAAAAGCCATCTAGTGGCCTGAGGCCAAATCTGTTCTAGGAACCAGATGACCAAGGGTGGCTGACCATACCTTCTACCTGGCCCTCTTGCCCCACCTGTCAATCTCCATCCATGTCCACCCTCAAAGACAGATCAACCCCATCTCTAGCCCATCTCCAACCTCTTTAAACCACACCATGCTGCCCTCCTGTCCATCAGGTGCTGAGATGGTTCCTGTCCCACTGTCCTTGCACATATGGCTCACAGCCAGGACCGGGTTGCCCAAGACCTGCCCTCTGCCACCCTTCAGAGCCTTCTCTGATCTCCCCAACTAAGGTGGGCTTCGCTACACTTTCTCTGTGTCACTGGTTGTTTTTTTCCCTGTGTTAACATCAGTGTTCCCTGCTCCTTCCCACCCCAGGAAGAGACCAATGTCTGCCTGGGATCCTGTGCGCTTAGGGGCCACCTAAGAACTAGACTATGAAAGGCTTAGTAGACCAAGTGAAGGAATGCATGTGGGACCCCGCTGAGAGTTGGCTGGCAGGAGGGGTTACTGGATGCCAGTCCTGGTCATGGCTAGGATTCAACCTGGCTCTGCCACCAACATACTGAAGTCTATTTCTTTCTTTTCAGTCCCCAGTCACAGGCTGAGCGGCCCCTGCTTGCTTCTCTCCAGAGTGGGGTGAACTTACCTGCTCGTTTGACAATAGCCTCCCCCAGGGAGGATGGGAAGTAGCCCACCCTGTCGTTCCCTGTCCGGTTGTCATGGATACAGCCTTTCCACCGGCCATCTGGATGCTGTTCAAGTACCTGGCCAAACAAATGGGGTGTGCGCTCAGGAAGACACCTCAGCAGATGAGGCCTGCTGCCCTGTGCCCTCTCCTAGCTGCTGCAGCATGGTGTCCTAAGCGTACCAGAGTCCCTCCCAGCCCTGCCACCAAGAGACCGTTCTCACCGTGATAATGTCCCCAGCCTTCACATTGAGACTGGTTAGATCATAATTGTTACAGTAATCCTTGGTTGCCCGGACCTGAAGAGCTGCAGAGGCCTCTGGAATTACAGGGAGGAAACACCCAGTCCTGGGAACCGCCCTCCCCAGCCCTGTCTCAGCCCTCATCCCTCCCCAGGCCCACCTCGAAGCAGCTGCTTGATCTCCTTGCTGGCCTGGGATGTAGTGAATTGGTGTACAATGTCCAGTGCTGTCTGGCTGTAGGTGTTCCTCACCTGGGCATTGATCCCACTCTGCATACACCAAAGGCCAAGGCCTTGTCAGGGGTTCCCATTCTCCCAACTTGGCTCCAACTTTCCCCTCTGTGTCCGGGGTCACCAGACTCACATCCAACAGCAAGCGAACCACTTCCGTCTTCCCGCAGAGTGCGGCCTCATGAAGGGCCGTGCCAGACTTGGTCTGGCGGTTAATGTCAATGCCGGCCTGAAGAAGGAGCCTGCATAGGTGGAGAGATCAGGCAATGCCTTTCAGCGGGAGCCCTTCTCCTCAGAACTGTCAAACCAAACCTTGATTCTAACTGCTAGGGCTGGATGACAAGCCACGACGCCCTATAGAGTGTGACCGTACGGTATCCAATACTTCCGACGCTTTTCGGAAGGCCTGTCCTTGGCTGCATTCTCACAGCTGTTATTTTGTTCAGTCCTACGGCAGGCAATGTTGTGGGCCTCCTTTATAGATGAGGAACCCGAGGCTCAGGGAAGATGCTTCTACAAGATCTCAGCAGGTGGCAACACCAAGTCAAGGCCAGGATGGAGAAGACACAGAAGCCTCTCCTCAGCCTCCCCTTTATCTGGGCACTCAGGCCTGACCACAACTCTGCACCTCCCTTCAGGAACCTGTGTGTGTGTGTGTGTGTGTGTGTGTGTGTGTGTGTGTGTGCGCGCGCGCGCACTCACATGACAGGGATTGAACCTAGGCCCTCATGCATCCTAGGCAAGCACTCCACCAGAGCTATATCCCAGCCATTTTTGTGTCCATACATGTCCATTTGTAATGTACAAGTGTGTGCGTGTACATTCACATGTGTGCACACACGTGTAGAGGCCAGAGGTCAATGCTAGGTGTTTCTTCAATCACTCTTTAACTTTTTTAGAGATACTGGGGATCAACACTCAAGTCTTTGTGATGGTATGGCAAGCACTTAACTAACTGAGCCATCTTGCCAGCCCCTCCCCCAATCTTAAGACCTGGTCTCGAGTAGCCCAAGCTGGAATCAGATTTATTAGGTAGCAGAGGATGACCCTGAACTCTTCATCTTCCTGGCTCCACCCCCGCCTCCTGAGTACTGGGATTATAGATGTGTACCACCACACCTGACTCAAGACCTTCATTTTTCATTTTTAGGCAGGATGTTGGCTAAGCTGCCTAGGCTAGCTTTGAACTTTGAATCTTCCTGCCTCATCTTCTCGAGGGCATGACAGATCTGTACCACCATCCCAGAGGCTCCTCCTTATTCCCGGGCTAGGAGCCTTGCGTCCCCGGATACCACCACGCTCTGGAAGCCTGAGGCTGGCCCCATTCCTGTTCCTGGCTGTACCTGATGATGTCGATGTGGCCATTCTTGGCTGCCAGGTGCAGGGGACTGGTGCCGTTGGGGTCAGTGGTGTCCCCTGGTCGGGGCTCTAGCAAGGCCGCACACATGTTGCTACTTAGCAGCAGTTGGACCACCTTGAAGGAAGGATCAGGGTAGGGTGGTCCTGGCTTGGGGCTACCCCTAGCCCCACCCCAGCTGAGAAGGACAGGCAGAGCCCACCCATCTCCGGGAGGAACTTACCCCTACTCGGCCAAACTCACAGGCCAGGTCCAGAGGTGTCTTTCCAGAGTTGTCTACCATGCAGGGATTGGACTGATGCTGCAATAGCATCTCTGACTGCAGGACAAGGGTCTGGTTATCCCTGCGGCTGCCCAGCCCCCGGGCCTGACTGCCCACCCAGACTCCCCATGAGGCCTCACCACATCGTAGTGACCATGTTGGGCAGCCAAATGCAGGGGTATGTGGCCCTCGTCGGATGGGACATTTACTGCTGAGCCTGCCTTCAGCACCAGCTTCATGGGCTCCTTCCGGCCCTGCCAGGCCGCGTAGTGCAACGGCCGCATGCCTGGGGACAGGTGTGGTTTGTTGGAAACTCAGTCCCGACCCTAAATGGGACCTTACTAAGGACATGTCACTGTCTCTACGGTTCAGACACCTTGGGCTGAGATCTCAATGAAGGGACGATCAAGGCTCCCAGGATTCTGTCCTTGGCCTTGCCCCCACCCTTGGTTTCAGGTCCCCGGACCAGGCTTGCCTTTGTTATCCTTGATGTCTACAGCAGCCTGAGCCTCTAGCAGCAGCGAGATCAGTTCCGTGTTGCCATTCAGGGCGGCATGGTGCAGGGCTGAGAAGCTGGGCAGGTGAAGGACAGGTCTAGGAGAGAAGCCAACACCCAACCTTCCCTGGGGCCCGCCTATCCCATCCACTCTGATACTGCCCAAACTGACAACTTACCCATCTGGGTCCTGGAAGTTGACATTGATCTTCTTGGTAGAGCCCAGGAGCTCTGTGGGGAGAGAGAGAGAGAGAGAGAGAGAGAGAGAGAGAGACCAACTCAGTGAGGAAAGGTGGTCTGACCCTCCTAAGAGCAAGGGAGGATGGTGGTGATCCACCTGGCTGCTGAACTGCTGAACTCAGCAGGGACGCGGAGATAGGTGCCAGCCACTTGGGCCTTGGTTTTCCCATTGTAGTACTGATGTGGGAACTTCTGCCTGTCCACATCTGGGAATGGGAGGTCAGACCATGCACCCACAAGGGCACACACATGTGCACATGCAGCCCTCCCTTGGGATGCTGGCTCAGCACCTGCCATTGGTGGGAGGGAGAGAGCCGGCCCCATCTGTCTCTCAGAAGGACCCAGATGGGGCCGGGGGTGGCTGAGGAGGCTGGAACACCCGGAAATGGGGTATTTCTGGGGGAAAGGACTACATCTCCAAGCCCTCTGCTGCCAGCTCTGGCTGCCATGCGGATAAACCCTACAATCCTGCAAAAAGAAGGAAAGGCTGTCTTGTGGGTGAGGGCCTTTAGGTGACCCATGCCAATGGCCACCTTGCCCACAAAAGCCAGCGTTCAGACCGAGCGGAGCCTCAGGGTCCATACCCTCTCTCTTCTGGGGTCTGTCTCATACTGTGGCCTCCCTCACCCTGGCCTTTCACAAGAGGGAGCCCACCAAAGCCATCCCAGTGGGCCCTTGTCCACCGGACTCTTGCCAACCCCCTGCCTGTCTGGGCCATGGTTATATAACCCATTTGTGGGTCAGTCACTCTGTGAGGGGGGGGGGCTAGAAGGACAGAAGCCCCTTTGTCCAACTCAGGACAGGGGTGGGGGTGGGGGACGCAAAGCACGGGAGCCAAAAGAGTAGAGTCACAGTGGGCTGGCCGTAAGGCTTAGCTTGGATTGGCTCAGCCTCAGCCACCAGGCACGGCATGTGGGTCTCTCTTGACAGTCCCTGAAGTCCAGAAAGACAGCTGCACCTGAATTTGAATCTTTGTTCTGACACTTCTTAGCCCTGCAGCCTTGGCCACTGGCCTCTTCCATGAGCTAGAAAAGGTGGTGTCACCTGAGTTGATGAGACTCTGGGCATTACTTGAACACTAGGGCCATCATTACACCAACAGGGCAGACCACACCTCTCGGAGTGTGAAGCTACTGCCGCCTCCTGATTCCTCCCATGTTCTCAGGTACTATGGGTACCAGGTCATTAATTGCATACCTCTTTCCCCATGGTCAACCAGACCAAGCCTTGGCATCAAGAGTCAACCCTGGCAGCCACCAGGGTCAAACCTGGTGCACACCTTTAATCCCAGAACCTGGGAGGTAGAGACAGGCTGATCCCTGTAAGTTTGAGGTCAGCTTGGTCTACATAGTAAGTTTCAGTACAGCCAGAGTCACATAGTGAGAACTTGTCTCAAAAAGAAAGAAAAAAGGAAAGAAAAAAAAAGAGTTGAGCCAGGCGGTAGCGGTGCACGCCTTTAATCCCAGCACTTGGGAGGCAGAGACTGGTGGATCTCTGTGAGTTCGAGGCCAGCCTGCTCTACAGATTGAGTCCCAGGGTAGCCAGGGCTACACAGAGAAACCCTGTCTCAACAAAACAAAACAAGTCAGGAGGTCTTTCCCGTGGACCCTTAATACGCTCAAGACACACTGAGGTCCCATGCTGTTCACCATGTCATGGGTGTTACCATGGGCCCGACCAGCACTTCAGGCAGGGTCCTGCCATTGATGCCCCATTGGTGTCAATACTGGCTCCTTGTACCCTTTGCCTTGTGTTCAGTAAACACAAGTTGGAGGAGTGTTAAAATGCAAGTCACAGCCAGACATAGTTGCATACAGTTTGTAATCTCAGCACTCACGTGATAAAGCGGGGAGGCTCAGGAGTTCAAGGCCAAACTGGACTACATAGTAAGTTTGAGGCCAGCCTGAGCTATATAAAACTCTGCAACGAGAAAGAAATGAAGGAAGGCAGGAAGGAAGGAAGGAAGGAAGGAAGGAAGGAAGGAAGGAAGGAAGAACAAATCTTCCAACAACCATAAGTTGGAGCCAGTTGTGGGCATATGCCCATCATCACGGCACTCTGGAGGTGAAGGCAGAAGGGTTCCAAGTTTCAGCTCAACTTGAGCTGCAGGTTAAATCCTGTCTCAAAAAAAAGGGGGGGGGGAGCGGGTGCCATGGTGGAGAGGGGTGCACAGCAATGAGATAGCTCACCAGATAAAGGTGTTTGTTAGCAAGGCTGACACCCTGAATTCAAGCCTTGAAACCCACCCAGTGGAGAGTGAAAACTGACCATTGAAAATTGTCCTCCGACGTGCGTACCATGACATGCACACACACAAATAAATAAATAAAGCATACATGCTAACGCGACTATCAAGAAAGAAAGGTATCAGGTATGGTGCTGCACGCCTTTAATCCCAGGACTTGGAAACAAAGCCAGGTGGATCTCTTAAGCCCAGCCTGGTCCAACGAAACAGTGAGACCCTGTCTCAAAACAAAACAGAACAAAAACCCACAAACGAAACAAACCGCCAACACAAGTCAGACCTCCCAGAACCTCTCCTGTGCCATTTCACTGAGGTGGAGGCGGAGGCTGCAATGCATCCTGGCCCTTGCTTTTGCTCTGGCCTCATCCATCCCTGCTCCAGCTGCACAGCCTCCTTGACGCTCCTCTAACATGTGCCAACATGGCCACAAGGCTTTGTAGGACACTCTCCTTCACATACTTTGGGTCTGTCCAGAGGTAGCTTTTTCTCCAAGGTCTCTCATCCAAAATGTTGCCCTTCCCTTCCCTTCCCGGATCTGTTGTATTTTTCTCCCTATCACATCAAATCAAGTTTCTTCTTGGCGTTGGTGGCCAAAACAGTGCCATCTCCCTCCTACATGCTGTCTATCCATCTTTGGGGCCAGTTTCATGGGTAGGTGACCTGTGCAGTTACTCAGAAAGGTACCCGACTTGAACACTTTGATTTTAAATAAGGTCCTACATTATCATCTCACACAGGCCGTGAAAACTATATATGTACGGCTTGGTCTGCTAAAGTCCCCTGCCATGAACTAATGTCATTGCATTGCAACCCCTCCAGGACCATGCTCAGACACTTTTCCCCCATTCTTCTCAAACCTGGTCTCACAGTCTCCGAGGCTTCCCAAATTCATGTTCTCCCTCCACCTCGGGGCTTCCAGGCAGCTACAGAGTCAGGTTTAGGGAGTGGAAAACCCCAGGCAAGCTGCTCTGAGGTCAGACAAGCAGAAGCCAATGTTTTAGAAGGGTTTGGAGGTCATGACTCAGAAAGTGACGTGAGGGAGGCCTCCTTCAAGAACGGGACTGCGAGCAGAGCATGCTGTTGCACACCTTTAATCCCAGCACGTAGGAAGCAGAAGTAGATGGATCTTTGTGAGTTCAAGGCTAGCCTGGTCTACATAGCCAGCTAGCTAGTCATGATCACATAGTGAGACCATTTCAAAAGAAAATCAATTTTATAAAAGAAGGAAACTTCTCCATGTGGGGAGGGTCACCCTTCCAAGGACACAAATTTATAGTCCCATAGGGAGGGGAGTGGTGTAAATTGCTTGGAGGACAGTTGGGGTCTCAGGGCACCTGCAGGAGATACTGAAGAAAATGTAGGGCTGGGTGGTCATCCCTCAGCAGGACAGGCTCTGAAAATGAATAGGAAGGGAAAGATAGCTGAGGAGGCCTGGAAACTGAGGAGAGAGCAAGTGGCGGCCAGGCAGGAGGCTGAGGGAGCCCCTTTCACTTTTTAGCAGGCTTCTGCATCAATACAGTACATGGGCTTGGTCTGCAGACTCATGGCAGGGAGCTTCCTTAGCATCCATGAAGCCCTGGATTCCGTCCCTAGCACCACACACACACAAGTAGTGTACAAACCCTGCCCGTTCCTTGTGACCCTAGACCCCAAGCTGCTCTCCAGAGACCAGCCTGAGATCAGATCCAAACTCCAGGCTGGAAGGGATTTAAAACAAAACAAAACAAAACAAAACAAAACAAAAACACAGATATCATTATGCTGCCTTAGCTAGCCTTGGAACTTACTGTGTAGACCAGGGTGGCCTAGCACTCACAGAGATCCTCCTGACTTAGCCTGCTAGGATTAGTACTAGGTTCAAAGGTGTGTGCCACTTGCACTGTTAAGCCTAGGCCACAAAACTAGGCAAGGACCTCTTACCAGCAGCAGAAGGGTGGCCCCCCTACCAACATTTTCCTTCCAAAGTTGTCTTTTTATTCTCAAGGACACCTGCTAAGTACTCATGCATGTGCAGGCTTCCTTAGAGATGAAGGGGGTACTAGAGAGCCATGGGAGGGAGAGAGAAGGGCTGGGCACCCAAAAGGGTTCAAGAACAAGATTGTGGGAAAAATCTCTAGGCTGGGCTGGGGAACACATTCTCTTTTTTGTTTTGTTTTGTTTTTGTTTTGTGAGACACAGTCTCTAGAACTCACTATGTAGACCAGGCTGGCCTTGAACTCGGAGATCTGCTCGTCTCTGCCTCCCATCTGCTAGGATTAAAGGCATGTGCTACTGATGTGTGGAGGGGAAATACACTCTCGAGGATACTTATGGACACCCCCCCACCCAAACTCCAGCTGCACTTTGCTAAATCAAAATACATCTTACTCCAAAGCAGGCCAGTGTTGCCATGACAACTGAGCTAATTCATGGAGGGATTTCTCCGTCTGATTTATTACACCGCCCCTCTGACTCAGAGAGTACAGACAGAAGGGCCAAGACAGGTGCCTCTGCTATCCCCAAGTCTACACCAGTCACAGGCAGAGGTAGAGACCCAGGCAGAGAAGACAGACCTCTCACTTCCCTAGGATGGCCAAATGGAAGCGAAGAGGATCCCCGTATTTGTGGTTCCCACTGGCTGGCAGCAGAAAAAAGCCGGCACCATTAGCATTTACGGAGCTGGAACTAAGTGTCTCCTCATCGGTACCTTCTTAGTGTTTTCATGATGTTGTGGGGTTCCATCCTACAGATAAGGCCACTAAGGCCTAGAGAGTCAGTTTGACCAAGGACACAAGGCCACTAAGTGGAAAGCTATGCAGTACCCTCTTCCATCTGCCTTTCCCTGGAAGCTCTAAGCTTCAGCCTTTAGGCCCTAACACCAGCCCTGGTAAGTGGAGCTTCCCAGGCAGCCCTGGGCCCTGGAGGAACCAGTGTCCTTCTCTCCAACAGCAAAGTGGCTAGGAGCCACTCTAGACAGTCCTATGTCTCAGCAGCACCTGGAGAAACGAGATTCTTCCTTCCCCCAGATTACACGCAGTCTATGACGGCAGGGAGGGAGTGAAGGCACCCAGGTCTCATGTGTTGACCTGCAGAGCCTGCCCAGGTACCCTGACACACTGAACACGGCCACACGTGCGCAGCTGCATACTCGGCTAGTCCACACGCCCATCCATCCATCTCCAGAGGCCCCTGGGAGGGCTCCAGCATGAGCAGGGTTGAGAGCTGGAATCAAAGCTCCAAGCTCCAAGCCCTTCCCTAGACCCCCAGGGCACAGGCTAGGGATGGCGTGGGAGCTCCTTTACAGGTCCTCGGGCCCCTTTCCCAGCAGGAGAGCCAGGCATGACCAAGATCCGTAGAAGCCTGCAGTAGCCTACAGTCCTTATCCCCCAGACTGTTCCTGACTGAACCCCAGCCTGCCCCAGGGCTAGGCGACCTTGGGCGCCTCTGCTTCACTCCCTCATCAGTAAATGGCCCCCACTGGCCATGCCTGGGCAGCCACACCCCCAGCTGCCCCCCCTTTCCCTGCAAGGCATGTTATTAAACATAGGAGGTCTGACAGAGATGGTTAGCTTATGGGTCGCCCCTCACTGCAAGGGCCCCTCCCTCTCTCTACAGTGTGTCTTGTAGGGGGATCCGCCTCGCCCTTAAAAGCCATCAGCCGGCAGCCCGGGAAGGGAGGGGGTCCGAGGGAGGATGTGATCGCCAGCGGCCTCAGGGACGGTGGGTGCCGCAGGTGCCCGCAGGGGGCTGGGCAGACGGTCCGGCGCTCGTTGCCGCCCCTCCTCCAGAACTGGGGCGGGAAGGGGGGGGGCGCGGAGCAAGGGTCTGAGCGCTCATGGCCCCGCCCCACCCCCGGAGACCCACAGCATCCCTTCCTCGCCCTGCACCCCGGCGGTGTGGGCCCCGCCCGCGCCCCGCGCGCCCCCCGCACTCACTGGCCTTCCCCGGCCGCGGCCTCTGCAGCAGCCTCTGCGCGGTCCCCACGTCCTCCGCCTTCACTGCCTGCACCAGCTCCTGCTCCTTCCCCATGGCGCCGCCGGGCCCGCAGCGACGCGGCGCTCGGTGCTCTCGGCGGCTCAGATGCAGCGGCGGCCCCGCGTCTGCGATTGCATCCTTTCCAGCCCGCGCTGCGTGCGCCGCCCGCCGCCCAGCGCCCTCCGCGGGTTCGGGTTCGGGCTCGGGCTCGGGCTCGGGCTGGGGTTTCGGGCTCGAACTGGGGCTGGGGCTCCGACGCGGAGGGACGGATGGCGCGTCACGGGCGGGGGGCGGCCCGGGGGCGGGGGCCGGCGGCGGCGGCGGGCAGCCGGTGGCGCGCCGCGTCTGAGCCGCCTCCCGGACGCCTGGGTTCGCTCCCGCGGCCGCTGACCTCCGTCAGCCCGCGCCGGCCGCGCGCCCGGCTCCGAGGCTCCGCCCCCGCATTGGCCCTTCCCCACACCCCCCCAACACACACACGCCCGACGCCCCCTCCCCACGTTTGGGTGCGCGGGTCAGGCTAGGCCTCTGCGGACAGCGGGGGACCGAGGACGAGCGCCAGGGACAGAGGACAGTGCGCAGGGGCGGGGGGTGGCTACCGAGCACCGACACGGCGGCGACGCAGGGCTAAACCTAGGAGAGGTTTCTCGAGGCTGCGGGACCTGACGGGGGGAGGGAGTCGGAGGCAGTGGGCGGGCGGGGAGTCGGGCACAAGTGCCACCGGTGCCGGCCCTCCAGAGGCTGTCAGACATTTCTGGCCCGTGGTTCCTGTGGGAGGTGTTGAGGGATTGCGAAGAGGAATCTCCCAATAATGAATTCGGTGTCAGGGAACCCATACCCCCTCCCCCCCCCAACTACACCTTCTTTCCTAGCAGCCTCTGGCTTCTCTCCACAACAATGCAGGATGACAGTTCTCCTTCGAGGACAGCCTGGAAAGGAGCTTGACTTCTCTGCTCACAGAATCTACTGGGATGTAACTGTCTATATCCACCAAGAAGGAACTTAGCCTCCCATCCTGAGCATCACTGAAGGCCCAGCCAGCCCTGCCTAAGCAATCTCCTAGGCACAGGTTCCCAGTCAGGACTTCCTGCTTGACCAACAAACAGCTCTAGAGGTTTCACCTTTCTTCTGCCTGCCTGAAGGCTAGGGCTGCTCCAGGCCTCTTCTTGTGTTGCCTGCAGCACTGTGAACACACATCAGTTCAGTTCCAACTCTTGGTTAAGGTTCTGCTCCCTCAGTTTCCTTATTTACAAGCAGGAGCACAGCGTCAACCAACCCAGCGACACAGTAGAAAGAACTTGGTGAGGGTTCACGTGTGCACATCTCACACACTGATCTTGTGGCCCTCGATCGTGGAGCCGTGGATCAGGTCCAGGAGAGCAGGGAAGGAGAAGCAGCAGGTACAGGGGCTTCCAGGATCATGTAATTCTGCTCGTGACAGGATCTCTCATGAGGCTCAGGGACTGAGCACATACTTCTAGCATGTGCTGGGCTATCAGAAGACGTCTTTAAATGCAAAACTCCTTCCTCTAATCTATTACAGTGACCAATTCCCGGTTAGTCACAGGGCCAGGTGCTGCTCTGGTCATTTGGGATAAGGCTGAACTTACTGCCCCCATTTTACAGATTGGGAAAACAAGAGCTAAGGTTTAGAAATGCTGTGCACTCCAGGGTATGTGTTACGAGGTCCCTCCCCGGGTCTCAAGGTTATGAGGCCGGACTTGGAACCTACATGGATTCCTCTCTCAGTGCTTCCTTTTACTGGTTTTGTCGTCCTAAACAGGTCACTGTATCTTTCTGGGTCTCTTATCCCTGTCAAAGGTGGGCAAACAATGTGTCCCCTTCGTCTACACCAGGGGTAACAGTGACGCTGCCCACACAGTTAACCCCGGATATAATAAATGGCCAGCACATAGCTACTGCAAATATCGTGATGTTTTTGGGCCTCCCTGCAGGGGTTGCAACTCTATTAGATTCATTGTCACATGATAGAGTGCCAAGCACACAGGAAGCACTACAAACTTAAGTAAATATATAAAAAGAAAACAGCTATTATCATGGCTATGATTGCTGTGTTTGGAACTTGTAAGGTAAATCATCTTTGTAGGACCTGGGGCAAAAATGCAAACAGAAGCCTACCCACCAAATGTCTATTTCAATGTTGTAAATTACACTAATAACCTGTTAAATAAAATATGTTCTATCCTCCTACCTTAACAAATATACCTTCACCATGACCTGAAAGCACAGGCTTAAATTTAATTTAATTCTGGGACTGCTTTTCAGCAAGGAACTTGCCCTTGCCTGTAGCTGTCATATTCTTGTTCTCTGTCTAGCTCCAGATCATCCATATCCCATAAACAGGCACCCCTGAGCACCCCCTTAGGCCAGGTGTGGGCATCCTACTGTGTAGCCCACCCAGGAAGAGGGATGTGCAGGGCAGGGACACTGGCTAGATAAATCCTTTTGGGCAGTAAACTCAAGTGTCCCAGTTCAATATGTGCACTGTGGTCCAGAAGGGACATCTGGGATCTAGGTGGCTTCCGGATCCGGTGATTGCTTATCTCAAAGGATGGACAGTGGCAGAAGGAAAGCAGAGGCTTCCCTGCTAGGTCAGACTAGAGCCCGGAAGGGTCTGAAGACCAGGGTCAGACACTGCTGACCAGTGACCTCGGATGGACAAGTTCCTGATGCTCACCTGCTTCATCTGTAAAATGGGACAGCGGCTCTGCCTGGAGGTTGATGGGAAGGTCTGCAGGGCTACCAAGATGTTCTTCACCTTCCTGCATGCCCTCCCCACCTGCCTGGGGATGAAAGCCACACAGCAGACAGATGTTTACCTCTCCTGTGGCAAAAGATGTAGATTTGTGAGACTGGGGCAGCCCTCCAGAATGTCAGGCCTCTGAAGAAGATCTGGGAGGAGGGGCCGCTGAGCCAGCAGAATTGCTGAATTGATGGGAGCTTCACTGCAGCCCTGACTGGCTTTCTTCCCGGAAGCTTAGCTGCCTCCCGCAGCCCCTGCCTCTGCCTACCAGCTGCATCTGCTTAGGGCATACCCCAAGCATTAGTGTCCAACTGATGTGTACACTGGTGATGTTTAATGTGGCCATTCTCGTGGACTGCTGGAATCACACCTCAGGTGTCATTTTTTGTGGGCGCCGCCTCTGTGAAGTTCTGTGCCTGTGAGTAGTTCCTCACAAAGGTTCAAAACCTTCGTGCTCCAGATTCCGTCTACCCCACAGAGATGCTGGGATGCTCAGAAAGCTCAGGGCCACGCCCAGTTTAACAGCTATCTCTGGCTTGGACCATCTGCAGGAATCCGGCCTTTAGCTCCTGGCTCCACCCAGAGTCCTGAAGAAAGGGCAACAGCTCATTACACGGGTGGCGCACATCTGGCCACCCTTCTTTGTTTCTTGGGTCCCATGACGGTTGATTCTGATCTAGATACCCTTCTTATTCTAGCTCTTTTCTCCCATCTAGCATGCTCAGGACTGACCAAAGCTGCCTCTGACTTTAGTGGAGCTGTTTTGGGAGAGAGTAGGCTTCGTCAAACAGAATGTAATAATCAAGGAATCTGAGGTGTAGGATCCCTGTGGAACAGTCTCCTCAGCTGGCTAGAAAGGATAAGGTCAGGAGGGAATGGGGTCCAGACTGCAGTTGGGCCAAACTGGGATCCACCATCTACCAGCCCTGACCCTTCAATGGCAATTCTACGGATATGAGCCTGTTTTCTGACAAGATGTTCCCAGAAGGGGACAGATCCTCCTGAGAGAAATCGTTGTAAGATCACTAGGTATGATGTAATAAAAAACATTCATGATGTTTTGGTAGTTCCTCAAAAAGTTGAACATAGCAGACTGGAGAAATTGTTCAGTGGCTGAACACAGAGCTAACATGACCCAGCAGTAACTTCATTCCTAAGATAGCTCCAAGATAGCTGGGCATTGGTGGCACACGCCTTTAATCCCAGCACTCCAGAGGCAGGGTAGGTGAGTCTCTGAGTTCCAGGCCAGCCTGGTTTACAAAGCAAGTTTCGGGGTAGCCAGGGCAACACAGAAAAACCCTGTCTCAAAAAGCAAAAAAAAAAAAAAAAAAAAAAAGACAGTTCCAAGACAAATGAAAACATGTATGGAAGCAAAAAGCAAATGCTTGTACTTAAGCATTTACAGCAGCACTCTGCAAAATGGCTGGCAGGAAGGAAACAGCTAAGATGTCCATCGTCGATGGACAGATAAAATGAGGTCCATGCACACAACGGGATACTGTTTGACCGTAGTAAAGAATGACATAGTGATGAATACAACTGAACAATCCTTGAAAAGTAGAGAAACAAGTCACAAAATGGTGTAGAGTTGTGATTCCGTTGATATGATATGACATAATGTTCAGCAGAGGCCATGATATAAAGGCAAGAAGACTAGTGGTTTTCAGGTCCTGGCTGGGGAAAGAGGGTGAGGAGGAACCGCCTAACGTCCTAAGGGGAGGATGGAAACGTCTGATAGCTACATATAGGCAGTGGTTGCAGTGTCGCACTAAATGTTGCCGTGCCTCTGAAATACAGACTTTATTATGTGGCCAAATGAGGGTGGCCTTGAACTCGTGATCCTCCTGACTCAGCCTCCCAAGTGCCAGGATTACAGACGTGCCATGTTGACTAAATTGGTCACTCCGTTTTTACTTCTGTATTGCCGGGCTGGCCTGGACTGTGTCAGGCTCTTTACCACTGATTTCCATCCCTGGCCTAAACTGTCCAGTTTAAATGGCCGATTTGGGGACTGAAGAGATGGCTCATCAGTTAAGATCAACCTCTCTGTTATATGTGGCACACAAATGCCACAAAGAGTGCTTCAAGAACCTGGGAACTGGAGATGAGGGTGGCAAGACACAGGAAAGATGGCACAGGAAGCCACAGAGCCTCTACGGTACGGCAAAGGAAAAAAAGGTAGGGATGTCCGGAGGGAGATGGGGAGAGGAAGAGAGCCGGCTGAGGTAGATCTGGTACTGCTACTAAGCCACAAAGCAGGAGATGAGATTTTCTGTCAGCCACTGTACACAAGGGTCAAGAGGTGGAAAGAAAGTATCTACCGGGTCTGACAGATTAAGCTGGGCAGTGGCCTTGAGGAATTTCCCCAGAGAGCTGGGGTAAAGCTGAGGAATGAGGGGGAGGTGGGAAGTGGAGCTACCAACATGATGAGGACAGCTCTTTGCAAGAGAGAGGGTTTTAGTTG